CAGCCCGCACGCCGCCCTGCCCTGCAGCTAGCGCGCCGCCTTGCCCTGCAGCCCGCGCGCCGCCCTGCCCTACCCTGCAGCCAGCGCTCCGCCCTGCCCTGCAGCCCGCGTGCTGCCCTGCCCTGCCTGCGCAGCCCTGCAGCCCGCGCGCCACCCTGCCCAGCAGCTCGCGCGCCGCCCTGCCTTGCAGCCCGCGCGCCGCTCTGCCCTGCAGCCCGCGCGTCGCCCTGCCCTGCGGCACGCGCGCCGCCCTGCCCTGCAGCTCGCGCGCCTCCCTACCCTACAGCCCGCGCGCCGTCCTGCGCTGAAGCCCGCGCGCTGCCCTGCCCTGCAGCCCGCGCGCCGCCCTGCCCTGCAGCCCGCGCGCCGCCCTGCCCTGCTGCCCGCACGCCCTGCAGCCCGCGCGCTGCCCTGCTCGCGCAGCCCTGCAGCCCGCGCGCTGCCCTGCCCTGTAGCCCGTGCGCTGCCCTGCCACTACTGCGACTACCGCTACTGCTACAGCTGCAGCTACAGTCGCTTCTGACGCCCTTGCGCCGCTGCTACTGACTGCCACTGCCTGTCATGGCCACTATCACGGTCGTAGCAGCGTCTGGCGGTGGACAACAGCAGCAGCGTCAGCCGGAGACTCTATCGCCGCAGCAGCTTCGCGAGTGGGTTATTCGGCGAGGCCGTCCTGGTGGTGGAGGTTATGGTGCTGGAGGTACTGGACAGCAGCGGCAGTCTTGTCACAAGGAGAGTCTCTCGTTACAGTAGCTTCGTGAGTGGGTTATTCAGCGAGGCCGTCCTGGTGGTGGAGGTTATGGTGCTGGAGGTACTGGACAGCAGTGGCAGCAGCGTCAGCAGGAGACCCTCTCGCCGCAGCAGCTTCGCGAGTGGGACTCTCACCGACGCGTCCCTGGTAGTGCAGAGGCTACTACCATGGTGTTGTCCATGATCCAGCGCATGTCCACTGCGTCCTCGCCCTCGGTTGTGTTCCATCCGGTAGGTTGTTGAACAAGAGGCCAGAAGGCCCGCGTTGGTTCCGTGCTTGTTGGTTCAGTTGGTGCGACGGCCGTTTCTGACGTGGTCTCCTCTCCTTCGTCCACCGCTTGCGGTCCTGTTTCTGCAGGGTTCGTGGTCGAGGCGACGGGTACGGCAAGAGCGCGGAAGGTGCCGTCGAGACCCGGTTGTTGATAGTCGGTTTCTTCTGGGTGACTCCACCTTGGTGGTGACGGGTGGCCCGGTGGATCAAGGACGAAGATGTGCTCGTTGTCGCCGGAGGTTCTGGGTGACTCGAATACTCCTTCCACACTCGTCGCTTTCCCAATGAAGATTCCGTCGTATATTAAGTGCATTTCGTTTTCGGTTGTTTGCAGGCCGACTCCGCAATTCATCAGCTGGTGGAGGGACAAGAGATTGTACCGGAGTTCCGGCACGATGAGGACATCGCTTATGTGGATGCAGTAGCCGGTGTCGTGTGACTCCAGCTGGACATGTCCGCGGCTTCTGGCATAGATGGTCTGACTGTTGGCAACGGTGATCTCCACTTCGTTGAAGAGTCGTTCCCTGTTGAGAATGAAGACGTCTGATGACACCATATGTTTGCCACAGCAGCTATCCAGGTACCACGTGTTGACTTCAAGGTTGGCAAGGTTGGCGAGTTTCGGAGTGATGTGATTCTCCATGTCGTGCTCGTTCTCGTAGGCATAATAATACCCTTCTTCATCGTACGCTATGCGCGCAGGCGGCGACTCTTGGATCCACTGCGGCATTTCCCAGTCGTACTCCATCCGTCCGACTGTCAGCTCGTCGTACATTGGATCATTTTCTTCCTCAACTTCAACAGATCCTTCGGGTCGTTCCTGAGGCGGGTCTGCGAACATGTCCTCCCAGCTGCGGAAGAAGCGGTAGTGTCGGTTTGGGCGAGGTGGTCCGTGACGCACCATGCAGGTCAAGACCTTGCTTTTGCCCTTGTCGTTTGTGTTCGCGGAAACGCGCGCCGGAGCTTGGGACGTGCTGGCGACGGCTGGTGGTGACACTGTCTGGTTGCGTGCCGGAGCTCCTCCTTGCTGGTGAGCAGCGGCCCCCTTTTGGTTGTTGTTGCCGTTCAGTTTCCAGGAGTCTTGAATTGTATGCCCGTTCTTCTTGCAGTACTTGCAGAAGAGTCTTTTCTTGTCCGGTGGCGCTTGTGCGTAGAAGGCAATCTTCTCCTTCTTGTTGCCCCTTTCGTTGTACAGGTCGATCTCCTTCTGTTCGGAAAGGAGCGTGGAGCAAAGGGCAGTTTCACTGAGGGTCCCTCGAGTACGAAGGAGCAACTTGCACTGGCGCCATTCCGGGCTCAATCCAGCGAGAATGATTGTGACGAACATGTCGTCAGGGAAGTTGCCGCCGCTTTTCCTGAACTGATCTCTCAGGTTCCTGCAGCGGTTGATGTATGGTCTGGCCTTTTCGCCGAGGAACATCTTGACATTATTCAGCTGGTTGAGCAGGCGACTAAGTGTCACCGAATCCGTTGCCATGTGGCAGGTGCGCAAGTGTTTCCAGGACTGTTGCGCGGGTGCCCACTCGTTCTTGAAGGGGCGAATGCTCAGTTGTTCTTCGGGCGACAGATTTTGAATCAATACGGTGAAGGCAAGGAGCGATTCGTTGTAGTACTGCGTCTTCTCCTGAGGTGAGTCGTTGGTTGGGAATGCGTATGATCCGTCGTAATACATCCAGATCTGAGCGCCCTGAGCTAGTAGTTCGAATTCGAAACTCCAGGTGTAGAAATCTTGCACATCGAAGGGCTTTGTTGTCTTGAGTCTCGATGTTGAGAGAAATTTGCGCTGCATTGACGCCATTGTCTCGTAATGCGTCTGTTGTGCTTGTGCAAAACCTTGAGCTCCGCGGTTGTGGAAGGTGAAGGATCGTTCAGATCCAGCTCCTTGAGGATCGGGAGGTCTTCGGGCGTAGCTGGAGCCGTCGATGCTCATCGGCTGATGGCTCTCAAGTGCGCTGATGCGGGAGATCAGCTGCTCGAGAAGCGTTGTGTCCACGGTCGTTGTAGTGGAAGCGACATTGGTGGAGGGCTGCACTGGATTTTCTCCAGCCTCTCCGCAATCTGCGCCTGGCATGTTGATGCCCTTGATGTTGTTGTTCTTGATCTAGAGATGTCTTGTAACAGGAGCCTGTTTGAGGCCTTTTAGCAGTTCCTATAATCCAAACTAGCTTTCATACCATGCTAGTGTAAAGGACCTTGGATAGGATAGGAGTTGCATTTGAAGAGTTTGGTAGCGGAAGTCTTTGTTGTAAGAACTCGGATCATAGTGAATGTAGATGACCAAGTTAATTAAAACAAAGATTACACACATGATAAATAGTTCTAGCCAGCCATGTACTCTGAGGGGTACACTCCCTTATACTACAGGCATTTCTACAGTGACTCTGACTATTGCACTTCTTCCTTGTTACCGAGTCGCTGAATGTAACCTGTGCGTACGGTTACGCCCGTTGCCATTCCTCGGCGGTAGGTCAAACGTCGGTCCAGATGTTCAACAGTCGCGACAGTTGACTTTGCGACTGTTGACCTTCCTGCCCTTGATATAGGCTGATCCGACACTGCTGCTAGCGTTGCTTCGATAGTGGCGGGTGCGGTACTGTTGCACCTACGGGAATGCTAAATGTAATTCCCTTCATACTCCAGCATTTGTCAATCATGTTGGGCTGAGAAAAGCCCTTAGGATCTTTGCAGGACTAAACTCAGAGTAGGAACAGTGTAATAGCGGAAGCGTTTAATGATAAGTCTGTGAACCACCTTGCGCTGGTATGTGAGGGCAAAGTCGATTGATTAAAACAAAGAGATACAAGCTTTTCTAAGAGTACAAGGGAATATGAAAGGTTATAGCTAATAACTGTTTTGCTGTTGCTGTTGCGGTTCGATACTGTGACGACTCGGGCAACTGCTCACTAACGAGTCAGTTGTTTGTCCTTACTGTCGCACTGTACTTGTCAGGTCAAAGGTCGCTGACCATTGACTTTCGCGTAACCTCCAGCAGTTGCTCAACCTCCGAGAGTTGACTCGCCGATGCTTCGATATGTTCTGCTTCGCTTATGTCTTAGTGTTTCGACACGACAGAGGCGCTTAAGTCAATTGTTTCCAACAAATCATTCCTGCTAGTTCCTTTGACAAGATGAAGACTATGTACGAAATCTATCCAAACTAAATAGAGAATATTCATCAATAAATACATGTTCGTTACCGTCATTTTTTCAGTGTGGGCCATAATGGCGTCCTTGTTTTTGGGAGAAAATATATACTTGTTACATGCAATTAGTTAGTACAATCTCAGTAACTGACAGAATAGTGTTACTGTAGCACAGTAATTAAATGATAGAATATTGTATTTAACAAGTTTGTGTAGACGGGGACGCGTCACGTACTGTTGGGCGAAAATAATTTCCGCTCTTTCATTTTCTTGCCTTTGGCGAAATAGTAGGGAGCCAAATCTGAGCGCAGTTGACACATAATTGCGCGCCCCGCCCTCGTTTATCCTTTGAACTCATCCTTTCATACTCTCCGCGGCGCCCGCAAGCAAGAGAGGGACAGGCTTCAGCAGCCGTACTGTCACCGTGGCGCCTCTATTCAGGGTGCGTGACATTTGTCCGCGAAGCCCGGACATCAACCCAGCAATGATCGTGGCAAAGCACACCGCTGCCGCCGAGCGACTTCACGCTCGCCCTCGCCGCAACTCGCGGGCGGAGCCACGCCAGGCAAGCCCGTCACCGTGCCCATCGCGCAGCACGCTCGGTGACCGTCGGCAGCATAAATGGAGCTGGCAAGGCCTTGAGAAAGGCATCACCTTTCGCTTCCCTCATCGAGGCGCACGAGAACCAGCTCCATATCAGACCAGCTTCGGACCACCTTAGAAAGAAGCAAGCTCCCGTCGTTGTGACTTACAGCCTGCAGCGCCATCGATTCAGCCCCGCCGAGCTCCAGCTGCGCGCAACCGTCGCCCCCAGCGTCTCATTCTCCCGCCAGCACCATGGCCCGCCCACGAGGCGCGCGCGCGCCCTCGCCGCTGCTGCTGCTCTTCCTCGCCACTCTGCTGCCTCTGCTCGCCGCGCCGACCGCGTCGGTGGTGGTGAGCGCCGCTGCTGCGTGGAGTGGCGGCGGTGATGATCCCATGGGCAGCGACCCGTCTCCTGCGGCGTGGACCACCGGAGGCGACACGAACGCTCTTGTGGGCGGCGATGCGCGCATGGCGCTGGAAGAGGGCGAGGGCGACGCGGCGGACGAGATGGCGGACGGGTGGGCGCTGGGGGACGGCAGGTGGGGGGACGACGAGGCGCAGGGGGAGGCGGACGTCGAGGAGCGCGCGGAGGGCAGGAGCCTGGCGGAGGAGGAGAGCGCGGCAGAAGAGATGGTGGGGGAGATGGCGGAGGGTGAGGGGGAAGGGGAGGAGGAGGAGGAAGAGGGGCGCGTGCTGGCGGAGGGCGACTGGGTGGATGAAAGCGAGGAGGGCGATGAGGACGAGGAGAGCGAGGAGAGCGAGGAGAGCGAGGAGGGAAGGGTGCTTGCAGAGGGAGAGGAGGGTGAGGAGGGGATTGACGGCGAGGAAGGCAGAGTGCTGGTAGAGGGCGGAGACGTGGAGGATGATGAGGAGGAGGAGGAGGAGGAGGAGGCGGCTGGTGGGATGGAGGGCGCGGAAGAGGAGGAGGAGGAGGAGGAGGATGTGGAAGGGAGGGTTCTTGTGGAGGACAGTGAGAGCGACGAGGAAGGCGGTGAGATGGATGATGACGAGGAGGAAGAGGCTGATGATATTCAGATGTCCAGGGAGCTTCAGGAGGAGGAGATGGAGAGCGAGGAGGACGAGGACGAGGAGGAGGAAGGGGTTGAGTTTTCACGCAAGCTGGCTGACGAGAAGGAAGAGAAGAAGACCGAAGAGAAGAAGGAGGAGAAGAAGGAGGAGAAGAAGAAGGAAGAGAAGAAGCCGGGGGTGCTGAAGAGGACGGCGAGTGCGATCAAGAACTTCTTCAAGAACCTCGGTGATCGCATCACTGGCAAGAACAAGAAGCCCGACAACAGCCCCCGCAAGGCAGGCCCCTCCGATGCCAAGGATGCCAAGGCCTAGGCTCCTGCCCTGCGCCAGGCTCATGGCGCATGGCGTGTGCACCTGACCTCCTAGCTGCTGCAATGAGAAGGAGTTACAGTTGTGAGGTGGGTGGGTAAAGAAGCATCTGTAGTGGGTGGTAAAAAGGTCTTCAAACACTGCACTGGACTGGATGGTGAAGTTAGAATGGAGGCTGTGGAATAAGAAGGATATGCTTTGCTGGTCGCTTGCTCTTGTTTTGCTGATTTGTTTTCTTGCATATGAGCTGTTGAATGCTTTGTCAGTCTTGGTCATGATGTTTCCTGTTGTTGTGGTTAGCTGTTTCTTGATATCATGCATCTGGATTCTGGACGCCAAGTATGGTAGAAACACCAAATATCCCACTCCCAAGAGAATTGCTTATGATAATGATTGTGGATCCATGGCAACCGGGCATGTTTCTCTTGGTTTTGTTTCTTTTAGCGCATGCGCGTGCTTCCCACTCCCCTCTCTTTCCACATGCTTCCGGACCAATGGCCGAGTGTCGCTCACACACATCTTTTGTCTCGTGTCTGACCTCCGTATGCTGCACATGGGCCATTGACTCTCCAGGATATTGTGTCTGTGATTGTGGTTTTGTGTGTGCATGTGCATCGGTGTGGGTGTGTACGCGCATGCGCACGCGTGTGCGGGACATGCGTGTGTGTATGTGTGTGTGGTTGCGTGCATGCCAATGTGCAGTGATTACACACATGCATGTCCAGCATGCCAGTGATTGAATCAAATCTGCCTGCAGAGGTCAGCGGTAACGCCAGTGCCACCTGTCTCAGTTAACTAGCACCCGGCGTGGCGGGGCAGAGCCATGTGCTCATCGGCACCACTGAGCTTCCCAGTGGGGCTAACTACACCTACGAGTCACTGCCCTCCGCTCCTTCGTCCCTCCCTCCTTTTCTCCTGTATCCCCCTTTCCTTTTTCCCTCCCGCCCTCCTTCACTCCCCCCCCTCCCTCCCTCCCACTCTCCCTCCCTCCCTCCCTCCCTCCCTCCCTCCCTCCCTCCCTCCCTCCCTCCCTCCCTCCCTCCCTCCCTACCTACCTCCCTCCCTCCCTCACTCACTTCCTCCCTTCTTCCCTCCCATCTTCCCTCCCTCCCTTCTTCCCTCCTCCCCCCTCCCTCCAAAACCACCTGCCAAAAAGCGTCCCCTCCCCGACCAACCCCTCCGACGCCACTTACCTTGCAGGCAAGTCAGATTCATGGTGGGGAGCATGACGCTCAGAGCGCACAACGGCACAGAGCTGGGCGGGTACGATGACCACGACCACACAGCGCACCTTCACCACCCTCGCAGCTGGTGGGGAGCACCACGGATCCAACACTCTCGCCACCCTCTCACCAGTGCCACACCGTGGGTTCCGCTTCAGCATGTGCCAGTCTCTCTACACCGAGCTGCCCTGGACGGTGAGTGTGATACCCCCTGGTGAGTGCTCTCCACTGAGGCTTGCTCCATCCTCTCCCTCCCTCCCTAACATGGTGCGCCATGGGACGTGGCGATGGTGTGTCTACCATTACCCGGCATCACCCTTAGGTCACGGTTGCCCTAAAGTAAGTGCATGTCCTTCGTTAGAGGTAGATTTACATGCATGTACCTACGGGAAGGCGGTAGTGGAAAACGTGAGGAGGGGGCACCAGAGCCAAAACATGCATGCACCCTTCACATGGCCTCGTGATAGATTGTGAATCTCTCCTTATGAGCCACTGCCACCATGTAGGCTTGGCAGGTCCAAGATGCAGGCTTGGCTGATCCACGTACAGTTAAGGCACCCTGTCCTCACCACCCCTCTCTCCTTCTCTCCATCTCCACCTTCCGTGTGGCTTGCACCTTTGCATGCAGGAATGCGCGAACCCATTGTCCTTCATGCCCACGATCCACACTGCATTCTTCCGCCCGGAAGCTTATTCCCTATGCAACGACACGGACAGGCCCACTGAGCTTCCGATCAAGGCCGACCTCCCACAACTGACTTCCACATGATGCCAGAGTAGTGCATAACAATCATAAGATGCATAGCCACCACGTCACATCATCGGTGTGGTTTCCGTATGGGAAGTCAGCATGGAGGTTTGTATTCTAGTGGAGGTTGTGTGTCGGAGTTCCAAGGTCAGATCCTCTGGGTGGCTCATATGCTTTTCGATCATGTTCACACAGGAACATGGTTATATTTTATGCTCTTTACTGCTCCATAGGTCCCTTATTCTGCTCTCATCGAATCCCCCTCTTACTTTCCACCTTATCGCTACCATGCCTCTCCTCCTAAAAATGGAATATTCATTTCCCTCACGCCCCTCCTGCACTGGCTTGCAGGTCCGGTGGAGTGTAAGTCACATTGTTGTTGCAGTCTGTTTTTGAGAATCGCTCAAAGAAAGTTTCCCTAAAACAGCCTGCCCAGGATGCAAGGCACCCGTTCTCTCCTTCCTTTCCTCGTCTTCGTACCCTTGCATTGCTCAGGCTATCTGCCCTTTCGCCTACAGACTATCCAACCTGTCTCCTGCGCTTTACAGATTGTAATGATGCATTCTGAGCCAAACAACCCAAATTAGCCCCCTCCTATAGCTGATCTTTTCTAGACTCCCAGCCATCACTTTTCCCCCTATTCCCCCTCCCCAAACTCCACCCCCCACTCCTCATTTCTCCCCTTGTCTTCCTCCTCCCACCAACTGACTCTCTCACACCACCCCAGACGCCATTACACCAGGTGCTGCTTCGGCCAAGCCCTCCTTTCTTCCTGCACCGCCGCCACCTCCGATCCCCCCTGCCCCTCCCAAGCCTGCATCTGCACCGTCGGTAACAGTGGCCTCCCTTATACGGTAGCTTCATTGCTGTGTCCTCTCCTGTCTATCAGCTACCGTAGATTGTTCTGGAGTCGCAATGAACAATTCACCAGAAGGTGCCGCCTCCTTTCATTCACCAAAAGTCTGCCTCCTTGCGAAGTTTGGATCTTGATTGAAGGCTAGCTAGCTATCACCATCACACTCACATTCCGTTACAATGTTTACCATTTTCATTCTTACTGCTAACCAATTCAATCCAGAGTAGTTGGTTAGGCTGATTTTCTTGAGTTTCTGAGGGGCTCCGATTGTGAGAGACGGAAAGTGCATGGATTTGCTGTCACTCTTGAATTTCAGGGAGCGCCACTATTTGATGCTGAAAACCACCCATTCTAGTGGGTATCTGGCGAATATGAAGAGCGAACCTAATCCATTTGTTTTGGCATAACTTCTGATTAGCAGTGAAATGTCTCCATCTACGGATACCGTACGTATGTGGGTATTTTTAGACAATGGAACTGTAGTCAAACAAAACATCTGCGGAGGAAGCAGGTGAGTCCAAAATCATTTCTCTCGCCCATCAGCCGTTGCCACGATGATGCAGCGCAGCTGCGCTTCAAGCCAAGATGGAAACAGCTGATGCACGAGATGCTCTGCAATGCTACGATATAACCCTGTCCGAAACCCTTAGCGTGACGCTTTAGAGCTAAACGTCGCCAGGGGTCAAGGAGCTGGAGATGATGTGCAGCGCAAAGTGTTTGGTGACATAAAAGTTGGGAAAGACGACCACCACGGGAAGAATGTCCGAGCCGCCCTTGAGAATCACGGAGGGCAGGAGCTTGCCGGACAGCTTGGTGACCTTTCCGCCCTCGTATGTTGGGAACTTGGTGAAGCGCGCGGCGTTGCGGAGCTTTCCTTTGCCGAACACGCCCTTGAGCATGTGGTAACGCGCCACGCTCCTGCGCTCGCCCGCGGAGAAGCGCCACCAGTTGCGCACCACCTTGAGCGGATTGATCGGCTGCAGGACCGTCACAGGCGTTGCCTTGGAGGTTCCATTCACCCGCTTAACCGTCCGGACTGCCAATGCGGGTTGGGAACAAGGGAAGATCATCTAAGAATGTCGCAGGAAGTTGGCTTGTTCTTTTTGTTATTTATTTTTAGAGGCCATACATGCGAATCGCGTTGAGAATAATATGCCCACATTACTTACAGAACCTCTCGAGAATCGGGGCTGTCTTGGCGTAAGGAGACGCTCGGAGAGTGGAGAGCGCTTTGTCCACATCATCGGCGCTAATGCTAACGGTGTCATCAAGAATGGTCCCTTCCGCGATGACAACGATAGCTAGGAGGGCGGCGAAAAGAAGAAAACGAGCAGATGTCCTCATCTTGTTAGGCAGGAAGAAAACGGCTGGTGTTTTTTTTTTGTAAAAGTGAGCGCTAGTAGTACGGCAGTCGAGGAAAAAGGTTGTAGTACGGAAGATGGAAGCTTGTGGTTGATTGCTGCTGAATCAGCTCACCATTTGAACTGGCTTTCAAAGTGGATTTCAGAATTTCAGCGACCGAATGCAGGTAGGAACGCGGCTCGCGCACAGCGATCGGTGAGTCGCAGCGAGACATTCACATGCTTGCTTGAGACCCAAAGAAGACGTCGTCTAGAACCTGAATGGCTGACGTCGTACGCGAAAACAATAAAATCTATCACGAAGACAATGCGACGCAAAGGCTGTTCGCAAACGGTGATTTCTACCTCACAGAAGCCTAACCCAGAAATCCACCAAAATTCACCGACAGGTGAGAAAGTCAGGGACTGGTCAAATGTAGCTACGGTATAAAGATTGCATGATCACACTTCAATAATGAAAAAGCATTTGATGTTGTAAGAATATACTAACTTATGGATCAACAAGCACAGGAAAACAAAAACAAAACAGCCAACACAGAAAACAAACACTCTACTCAGGATCACGATCACTCCCATAAACCCCAATTTCTCATTGTAGACCCACAAATCGTCCACCAGAGATGCTTCTTTACCCACCCACCCGCCTCACAACTGTCAGCTCAGCCCCTCCCACTCTAAAAAGCAGCTGGGAGCTCACGCACATGCCATGCGCCTGGCGCAAGACCCTAGCGCTTGACATCCTTGGCTTTGGTATCCTTGGCATGTGTTGGCCCTGCTTTGCGGGAGTTGTTGTCAGCAGGCTTGTTGCGCTTGCC